GTGGCCGGGAGCAGCCACTGCACTCCAGTCTGGGCGACCAAGTGAGATTCCAACTCAAAATAAAAAAGAGTAGGGAGGCAACAGTGTCAGATGCTGAGACAGCAGGAGCGCAAATTAGCCGGGTGTGATGGTGTGCCTGTGGTTCTAGTTACTTGGAAGGCTAAGGCAGAAGGATCGCCTGAGCCCAGCAGGTCGAGGCTATGGTGGCCGTGAGTATGCCACTGCACTCCAGCCTGAGTCACAGAGTGAAACTCCAACTCAAAAGAAAATAAAAAGTTAAATTGGGCCAGGCGAGGTGGCTCACACCCATAATCCCAGAACTTTAGGAGGTCGAGGTGAGGACTATCTGAACCCACAGGTTCAAGACCAACCTGGGCAACTTGGTGAGTCTTCATCTCTACAATAAATCAAAAAATTAGCCAGACATAGTGGCTCACGCCTATAGTTCCAGCTTCTTGGAAGACTGAGGCAGAAAGATCACTTGAGCCCAGCAGGTCGAGGCTGCGGTGGTCATGAACGTGCCACTGCACTCCAGCCTGGATGACAGAGTGAGAGTCCAACTAAAAAAAAAGTTAAAATGATCAAGAAAAAAAAATAGAGGCCAGGTACAGTGGCTCACACCTGTAATCCCAGCACTTTGGGAGGCAGAGGTGAGAGGATCGCCTGAGCCCAGGGGAACTTGGCAAGACCTCATCTCTACAATTAAAAAAAAGAAAATTAGCCAGGCACCTGTAGTTTCAGCTACTTGGAAGGTTGAAGTGGAAGTATCGCCTGAGTCTAGCAGGTCAATGTTGCAGGGGCTGTGAGTGTGCCACTGCACTCCAGCCTGGGCAACAAAGTGAGACTCCAACTCAAAAAAAAAAAAAAAAGAAAGAAACGAAAAGAAATACATTTTTCAAGGCTATAGCTGCCACAGTGATTCCTCTGATGGCTATGGATAAAGTAAATTAAAAACGTATGGAAAGGATTCGCCATTCTAAGAACATGCTATTAAGAATGTTCATGACTCACAAGAGAAGGTAAAAAAAATCTACATTAACAGGAGTTTGGAAGCAGTTGATTCCAACCCTTATGAATGCCTGAGGAGTTCAAGACTTCGGGCCAGGCATGGTGGCTCACGCCAGGAATTGGAGACCAGCCTAGGTAACATAAGTTAGCTAGGAATGGTGGTGTGTGACTGTAGTCCCAGTTACTCAGGAGGCTGAGGCAGAAGGATTGTCTAAGCCTAGAAGGCCAAGGCTGCAGTGAGCCATAATTGTGCCACTGTACTCCAGTCTGGGTGACAGAGTAAGAACCCTTGAGTCAAAAAAAACCAAAAAGACTTCAGTGGAGGAAATAACTACAGATTCACTAGAAACAGCAAGAGAACTAGGGCTGGGCATGGTGGCTCATACCTGTAATCCCAGCACATAGAGAGGCAGAGACCAGAGGGTGGACTGAGCCTACGGGACCAGCCTGGGCAACTTGGTGAGACCTCGTCTCTACAATATATCAAATAATTGTCTGGGCGCAGTGGCTCATGTCTATAATTCCAGCACTCTGGGAGGCTGAGGTGAGAGGACTGCCTGAGCCCACGAATCTGAGACCAGCCTAGGCAATTTGGCAATTCCTCATCTCTATAATAAGTAAAAAAAAATTAGCCAGGCATGTGGCATGTGCCTCAGCTACCTGAAAGGCTGAGGCGGAAGGCTCCCCTATGCCCAGCAGGTCGAGGCTGTGGTGGCTGTGAGCGTGCCTGAAGACTGAATTGCTACAATCTCATGATAAAAATTTAATGGATGAGGAGTTGTTTCTTTTTCTTTTCTTTTCTTTTTTTTTTTTTTGAGTTAGAGTCTCACTCTGTCACCCAAGCT